ATTTCTCGCTCCAGAAGCAATCTCTTGTGGTGCAACGTGGGGTTTGCCTAGTGTGGGGCCCACACTATTATGCATTCGTAATCTCGTCAAACCCCACTTTGGGTAGATAGTGCCTTCAAGCTATAAATCAAAGATTGAGAGTCAGCATAATTAGCTAACTTTTATTCTAACTACAAGAGGAATGACGCTCAAAAAATTACAAAGAACAATTTTTATGGGATGGAGAACGAAAGATTCCAACCACCGCCTCTGCCAACTATTTGTCCTTTCATCATCCTTTCCTTTCCTTTCGTTATTGCATGCAGCGTAAGGATCAGTATCCCAAGGATGCAGAGCTCATAGGAGGTGTTTCTTTCTTTACCCATTTTCAACCAGATTGAAAGATTCTTTTAAGAATTACTTCTACGGAAGTGGGGAGGATGATTTTGAGTCATGTAAAAAAACTTAAATTGGAGCATATTTTTGAGAGTTTCCTGCAATTTTCTTCGCTCACAGGTAGTTGCTTGATAGATAGTATCATCTAGTTCGAGCATGATTGCTAGACTTCTTCTAAAAACTTCATCTTTTTAAGCTCTTTTAAAACGGCCATTTCAAACAGTAGGTTTCAGCTCGACTCCGATTTAGCAGATGGACAATACACAATTACTCAGTTGAGAAGCCGGATCAAAGCTTTAGATGATGATAACAAAAGACTTGAAGACGAGAAAGACCAAATTGAAAATCGACTAGAAAGAAAATCGAGATTTTTGGAAGAGGCTTTGATGATTATGAACTGCCTACATCGAGAAATCTCAGCGCTCAAACTGCAGTACTGCGATCTTGATGAAGAAGACGTCTGCGAAGAAGAAAGTGTTTTGAGTTCGCACTTCCTCCACCTTATGGCTCTCGTAGAAGCGTACTGTCGACAGTTTGAGCAATTAGAGTTGCGTACGGCCGATAGCGAGCAAACTTTGCACGGCCAAGACGCTGACCTTTCCGAGACAATCAGCGAACTTCAATATAGAGTAAGCAGTTATTGTATACCAAGCTGCTGATTGATGATACAGATTATTCAGCTGTTCGCTGCCGATCAGAAGCAGGCTACTTATGAAAAGGAAAGGCAAAATTATGAAAAGTGCATAAAAAGATTGAAGGAATCGAACGTATCAGCACTAAATGAGGTTTGTTTTTTGTTCGAAGCAAGGAAGTCGAAGCTGAGCATAATTTGAAAAGCTCATTACAGGTTGGTCAATTAAAAAATCAAATTATGCATTTTCTTGAAAAAGAGTCCAAGAGTGAAGAACAGATGGAGGCGTTGAACGCAAACATTGCTGAATTAAAGAACCAGCTTGTCACAAAGTCGGATCAAGTGAATCATTTGACAGAAGCGGTAAGAAGTTGATGGCAGACTCGAGGTCGGACTCTCAGTTACGTTTAGCTCAAAGATTCGCTCACCGCCAACGTAAATCACGCAGAAATGCTTGCGAATGTCAAAAACAGATTTGTTGAGAAGTTAGAAAATGCAAAGTTCAGAGAAGTGAATTCGACACCACCCTCGCACTGCAAACAATCAACTTCTCTGAGATACACTAAATTCTAGGCGCTTCAAACAAGGAAATGTGATGAAATACACAAGAAACTGCTGAAGAAGGAGGACGAATTGAAAGAGTTAGAGCACAAGTTGGCTAACTACAAGGTATGCTCTTAAGCAGTTTCTCGGCAGATTGGAGGACCCGAGCTTCTTATGAAAAGTGATTGAAGAGAAGGGGTTACGGTTGATAGCATCAAGTACCGTGTAACCACTCTTCCATGGAAATTCGATGACATACACCACCAACTTCTCATCACTCCCCTAGTTCTACCAACTTGTTACGCTTAGGGGAATGATGAGAAGTTGATGGCGTGTATCATGAATTTCCATGGAAGATTAATTACACGTTTTTTCTTCATATCGGTCTTGAATCAGATTCTGGGCTTCGTTGCTCTCGGAGCCCACACTAGGTACAGGCCCCAATACGCCCGCGCGTTTTAGCCATGGGATCTATAGATTTTAAGATATCGTTTTTATGTCTATTTCTTAGTCATTTCTGTATAATTAGGAGCTCTGACTGTTATCTGTAAGGATAATATAGCTGGAAAGCCAGTTCGTTCGTAATGGTGTAATTGCGCAGCGCGAACTGTCACCGTTAGGCCCGTATGCATTAACATCCTTGCGAAAAGAGCAGCGTTCCCCAATATCTTCCAACTTCGAGTGTTTATTAATCTTGACATCAGGAAGTTATAATCGCTTCAATTGACTGAGCGTAGACCAAGATGTTAAATATTCTTTATTCACAGCCAGCGTTCCCCCTTATGAAGTGTCGCGCGCAAACGCCGCTGCGGCTTATCCATTATTCATCGGGACTCCGCTCCCCTCGCCGCAGGTATGTTAGTGTTTAAAGGCCTTAGGGCCGCAGGCACTAACGTCCCCGCTGGAAAAGGGGATCGCAGCTTACAAGAAAGTTTCATATTCCGAAGCTCCAGATATTCGGATTTCACGCTGGCTGCCTATCGGTAAGTATTCCTATTATCCTCCACCATGAACAGGAGCAGTATTGAACAGGAGCGAGATGCTTTACAAGTCGCATTCTCCAGTTTTTTGTACGATCTCCTGAAGATCCCCGACAGCCGACTATCTTTCCTTCGAATTCAATTTTTTCTTCAAATTCAACGAGAATCTTCCAAAGTTGTACTGATATTCTAAGGGACCCGTCATACTTCGCCCAAAAAAGCGCGCAAACGCGCGCAAAAGCCCAAAAGCGCCAGAACGC